ATTCTTTGACGAAGCCTTCAGTAGCTTCACTAACGAAATTTTTCATGAATTTCTAGTCAAGATCTTCAGTAACCTAGACCAAAACAGCTTTATTAATGAAGTCCTTAGTGACTTCAACCATGTTGACTGCATTGTCGAAACCTTCAGCGACTTCGACCATGTTAACCTCTTTTGGCTTCGTATAGTGAGCGTCATCAATTTGCAGAGGATTAGTGTCAACCTTCATCTGGTTCTTGGGCTTCTCCCTGAATTTGAGCCTTCCCTCCAGGATAGCATTTTGAACAAGATCCCTGAAAAGAAAACATTGAGAGGTTTTATGACCCAAGAAATTATGGTATTTACAAAATCCTCTTTTCTTTCTTTAATCTAAAGGGGGAATTTTAGAACCAGGAGGTATTATCATTTGCCCATCTTTAACTAACAAATCAAATATTTTGTCACATTTTATGACGTCGAATGTATAAGTTTTATTAGGAAGTCTACCATTCTTTTCTGACTCAGTAGGATTCTTCCCATTCGAAGGTGCTAAAACCTTACGAGAATAGGGTGAACCCTTTTTCAATTCAGCGAGATCTACTTCATTCTCATCGAAACTCATAGGCTCACTGTAAGGCCCTTCGCCATCTTCGTTGAATTAGACATAGGCTATTCTTTTATTCTTATTTTCTCTAGCCTTTTCTTCTTTCAAACATTCTAACTGTCGAACCCTATTGGCCAACTAGGCCATATCCCTCAGGTAATGAGTATCTAATTTCTTTCGGATGGAATAATCTAGGCCGCCAACACCCATTTCGACTAACTCATGTTCTGGAACTTGTGTGAAACACCTTGCCTTGAGAAGTCGAAACCTATTCAAATAATCGTTTATTAGCTCGGTAAACTTTCGTTTTGTACTAGCCAATTCCTTCAAACTAATATTTGTTTGTCCCATGTAGAATTGCTCATGGAACAAATGTTCTAACTGGGTCCAATTATGAATCGAATTTAGAGGCAAGGTTATGAACCAAGTGAAAGCGTTCTTTGTAAGAGAACTTGGAAAATATTTTACCCTAAGGTTCTCATCATTTGAAATGTCTCCTGCTTCTATCAAATACCTAGCCACATCTTCGATAGTGAACTCAGTGGTATCCTCAAAAGACTTATTAAACTTAGGAACCTTTGTTCTTGGGGGTAAATCTGACTGAAGGATGCATTTGGATAACGATGAGGTACAATTTGGCCGTCGAAGGCCACAATTTACTCTGTTACGTGCCATGATTCTTTCGACCATGGAAGCCAAATTATTATATGTTATTACGTTGTTACGTCGAACTTGCTATACAATAGTTTTAGCATCCTGGTTCCTATTTACCAAAACTACCCTTGGCTCTTCTTTTCTAGGAACTTGTGGTTGATTCCTAGGGGGTTCGACTCTAGGTCTTTCGATTATTCTCTGGTTGTTTTGATTTTCCTGGGGTATATTTCTCGGATTTTGTTGAATTTGGTTAATTGTGGTGTCTTCGTCGAAAACTACCCCTTGGTTTTCTATCATATACTCCCTTGGTGGTTGTCGAGGAGGATTTGGTACACTAAAGAATTCTACAAAGCGCGCCATTTAAGTTGCTAATTGTTGATTAGTTTGGGTAGTACTCTGAATAAGGGGCTAAAAAATTTCCCACATAGTTTGGGACATCATTTGGACCATTTGAAGGTTACTTTCGTCCATTTGTTGTCTTAAGTATGATGCAAAACTGGTTGTCAAATTTGGCATTTGGGCTGAATACCATATTCCTAAATTTTGACTATTTCGATCAATATTTGCCCCAGAGCCAGATCCTTGTAATGGCGAAGTTATTACGGGTTCTGTATATACTGGAGGGGCGTTTTATAAGTTTGCCATCATCGAAGTTGGCATTCCATAGGGTGGGTCTCGAGGCAAAGGTATTGAAAACCCAGGAAGAGGGATGTTTCTGAATGTTGAAGCCCCTATGGGTGGTGGAGTCTATGGAGGACCCCTTGGCCCAATATAAGTCATAATAGGTTGCGTATGAGAAATTGAATGTGTAGGCATCGAACTTCCCATAGATGGAATTGCTTCAAAGACAGGCGCTGAGACCGTTGGTCCTCCTGTCAAAGATCCTATGGGTTGTTCTACATTATTATTAGGCATATCTTGAGGAATACTTGTCTGGTTTGAATTTGCCGTCATTATCCACCTATATCTTCTTCTTGTTCTATCTTTATTAGCGGTGACTACTCTACCACTTCTTAATAACATGCAACGAAGTTTTTCAAAGAAAAAGTTGACCGCAGAACTAATAAATTTTCAAATTTTTGAAGCAAATTTTATGATCACTTAACACTGTCCCACTGGGCGTGCCAATTTGTTCGTCATGAAAATTAGTGAACAACCGCTGGTCTTACAAATCGAAAAAGATCTGTTTTATTTGCAGGATCGACCACACAAATTCTAGGACATGTGCTAATTTATCTTAAATAAAGTTTATAAAAACAATGAACACTTCGATAAAGTTCATGATAAAATAACTTATTTATACTAACACTAAGACTTGCTATTTATACTAATCGAAAATAACTGTCATTAACGGCTAGCAAAATAAATCGAGACAAGTGTCGCTCTGCATGCCTTCGAATCTTAGAAGCGCTCCACATGTCTTCTTTGAGGAATGAATGAGAACAAACTTTCCCTTCTTTATTTAAATTCAAACCTTCCTATCGAAATGCCTTTAGTGGCACCTCTGTCGAATCGAATCCTCCAACTGTTAAGAAATATTTCTAAGTCCGTAACATAGATTCTCCTGGCGAAAGGACGCCTTCAACTCATATTCCAAAAATATGGCTTCAGTCGAAGTCATTAAATTTCTTCGGGAAATCTATTTCCTACTTTTAATCTCATTCAGGCGTCGAAATTAAGAGCCAACAGGGAGTCAATCAAGATAATGAAATAGAGGAATGGTTAAAATATGTATTAAGAGGAACACGGATAAGAAATGTGCCATATAAAATCCAGGTGTTTGGGTGAAGACTCGTGCTGGACAGAATACCAACTAAACCTCAGCGGGTGAAATGAGGAATATTTCAAAGCAATAGAGACAAGACATGTGTTATTTTTCAAGAGGAAGATAACCTAACACATATCTTGTTTCAATGTCCTTTCATTAGAAGAGGATGAAGGGCTAGGGAGGAATTGACTTATTTAGAGGTGGCTATGAATCGATCTAGTTAGAAGAGCTTCAATCATCATATGAGTAGTTTGAATAGGAAAACCAAAAAAGATAAGGATGAGATATTATGGCTAGCAACATGTTGATGTGTATGGTTGATAAGAAAATTTGGATTTCACTTCTATAATATATATATTTTTTGTTTTACCCTCCTAAGCATGTAATTTGAACACTGAATCTGGGAGGTAAACTAAAAAATATATTACAGGGGGTAACTTTGATGCTTAGACGACAAAAGATATAAAATTTTAACATTTTAAAGGAGGATTCAAAATTTTATTTTTACAAGAGATAAATCGAAACTCGTCTAGATTGTAGGAGATGTTGTATATTTAATCCTTCTATTTAATGGTGCGGCGTGCAAGGGAGAAGAAGCAATGTTTATATCAAACTAACACCTTGGTTGTGGAATGTAATATGGCTCAAATCAATTGCAAGTAACAACTTCTACGAATGATGCATAGCTCTTTTGGATTGTCTTAATAGTAGTTAAACTAATGGGCAAGTGTACTCCTATTCTGTTAATGAAATTTGCTTATAAAAAATTGTAATCGTCACTTTATTTTATTCTTTCTGCTTATGTGAATTTGCTAACATTCTTTGTCTCACATATTAAAAATATTTTTGTTATTAAATCTTTCAATTTCACACATTATTCATGTCTCTTAATTTTGTTAAGCTAATAATTTTCTTTATTTGAGTAAAGATAAAGTATGCCGAAAAAATTCATCTTAATTTGTGGGGTTAAAGTGTGAAGTATTCCAAAATCATTTTTTTTCTTCTTAAATGTAGTCAAAAACCAGTTGAAAACCACAGGTTTTCTTAGCTTTAAGTACACTCCCTCCGTAATAAAATACAAGAAAAATACCGGTAACGTACTTATCTCTATTAATTTAACATTATATGGGTCAAACTACATTTATATGAAGTCCATATAATTCAAATACCTTAATATAAAAAATAGAAAGGAATATTAAAATGTGCGTGATATATGTTATTTGTATAAACAATCTAAATTCTTTATCACTTGATCAATCTATTATTATTCTAAAATTTAAAATAAAAAAAATCTTAAAAAAGTCAAACATATTTATTTAGTTTAATAAAACTTAAATTAAAAGAATTTAATTAAAAGGTACAATATAAAGGGATTTGACTATTAAATGTTAGAGAAATTTGATTTTTTATTTTAATTATTAATAAAATAGTACTATTGGTGATGAAACTTTAACGTATATAGTAATTAATCTCAAATTAATTATAAAAACATTTAACCTTTTTATTCTCCATTCTTTAAATTAAATTTAGTACACATGTTTTTATTCAAAAAAAGTAAATAAAACACGGTATTTTAACGTTCTTACCATTTCCATGCACCTAGTTTTATTTTTTGTGTGGATACAATTGCATGCACCTAGTTAAGGTAATGTTACATAAAAAACATAAATAGTTTTCATAGGAAGTTTCGCGGAAACCAGTGAAGAAATCAAAACCTGCAAAAGCTATCATAAATACAAAACATTCTGGGCCATATAACACATGTTTTCGTTTAATACTCATGTTTTTTTGTCTTGTTCTTTTTTCACCTCGTGCTTTGTCCCCACACGTTTCAAACACGTACCCTATCTATATCTCTTTCTCCAACCTCATTCGTCGACATTCGCTACGTTAAAACACTATCACATACGTAAAAGATAGAAAAACATAACGTTAAACCTGTGTCAAGTACGAGTGATTTGGAAACTCAGGTGATAATTAAGGTTTGTGTGTGTTTTTATGATGAATAATAAGGTTCATCCAATTCCTCCTCGTACTCGAGTTGGGAAATATCAGTTGGGGAAGACGATTGGAGAAGGAAGCTTTGCGAAGGTGAAATTGGCGAAGAATGTTGAGAATGGAGATTTTGTTGCCATCAAGATTCTTGATCGTAATCATGTGCTTCGTCATAATATGATGGACCAGGTACGTCTCTTTTTGTGTTGATTGTTAATCTTTGTTTTGTAGTTTTTGAAATTTTATAATTGTACTTGAATTTTGCAGCTGAAGAGAGAAATTTCGGCGATGAAGATGATTAATCATCCGAATGTTGTCAAAATATTTGAGGTGATGGCAAGTAAAACAAAGATTTACATTGTCTTGGAGTTGGTTGATGGAGGAGAATTATTTGATAAAATTGTAAGTGTTTCATTTATTTCATTTCACTATATATTACCGGTGTCGCAGAGTGCTGCAACACAATATGTAGTTAAATTTGTATATGTCTTTGCGTGTTAGTGTCGTATCTGGTTATGTGTCAGTGTCTGTGTGCTTTGAAACTCGTTGGTCTTGATGTTTTTCTTGGATTATGAATCTAAATGACTAGACCTCAAAAATTTTCTAAGTTGCTTGGTAATTTAATTTTCTAGGCTACACATGGGAGGCTTAAAGAGGATGAAGCAAGAAGTTATTTCCAACAGCTAATCAATGCGGTTGATTACTGCCATAGTAGAGGCGTGTATCATAGAGATTTGAAGGTTCTTTAATCCTCTTTTATTCTCTATAAAATTTCTACATTTTTTGAGTTAAATTACAGAAAATGCTTATATTCGCGATATTTTGCAGCCGGAGAATCTTATGTTGGACACAAACGGTGTTCTTAAAGTTTCAGATTTCGGATTAAGTACATATTCGCAGCAGGTATGATCATATCCGCCATACAAATTTACAATCAGAATAATTGCATTTTATGGAACAATAATGGTTTCTGATTGCAGGAGGGTGAACTTCTCCGCACGGCTTGCGGAACGCCGAATTACGTTGCTCCTGAGGTGATAATAATACTATCTTTTGTGGATCAAATGAAAGACTAGTTTGGTTTTCTCAAACTAAAGTGAGTGTTATTTGATGTGTGTTTTTGTATCAGGTGATTAATGATAGAGGTTATGTTGGTTCAACTTCTGATATATGGTCCTGTGGAGTTATTCTCTTTGTGCTTATGGCCGGATACTTGCCGTTCGACGAGCCGAATCAAATTGCGCTTTATAGAAAAGTGAGTGATTTCATAATATAATCCAAAAGAATAAAAACTGATGGTTTTTGGGATGAAAATCTAACACATATTTCAGATTGCTAAGGCTGAGTTTGCATTTCCGCCGTGGTTTTCACCCGAGGCAAAGAAACTGCTCAAGTCCATCCTTAATCCAAACCCTCTCACGGTGAGTTTTATAGTTATCATCGATTAGCGTCTGTGTTACCATCGATTTATACGAGTTGTTTTATGCAGAGGATAAAAATTCCGGAACTCTTGGAAGATGAATGGTTCAAGAAAGGATACAAGCCCGCATCTTTTACCGAGGAAGATGTCAATGTAGACGATGTTGCTGCTGCTTTCAACGATTCTAAGGTAACAACGATATAAAACCAGAATCTACTGCATTGTTCTAAATATTAAGTATTGCAACATGATCGCGACGCGACAATGATTTAAAACCTTAGACACAGCTTATAAAGAATTTTACTTTGGCATGCAGGAAAATCTTGTGACAGAGACTAAAGAGAAACCTGTGTCGATGAATGCTTTCGAGCTTATTTCTAGATCACAGAGCTTCAATCTTGATAACTTATTCGAGAAGCAAAAGGTGTGTGAAAATTAGTAGCTTTTATTTCAACATTTTAACATGGTATAGATAGTGAAATATACTTGATTTCGTATTAGTACTAATTAGCGCACATGATATCGATGCTTATACTAATTTAATTTTATGTTTGTTTCTTCATTTTGATTTGTACTTTTAACACCATAGGGAGTTGTCAAGCGCGAAACTCATTTCACTTCACAACGCCCCGCGAATGAAATCATGTCTAAGATCGAAGAGGCTGCAAAACCTCTCGGATTTAATGTTCACAAGCGAAATTACAAGGTACCCGATTATTAACCACAAGAACTAGTCTTCACTTCTGGATTTGATGAACCCATTCATTACTGAGATTAATCTTAGTGTTATAAATTATGCAGATGAAGCTTCAAGGTGACAAAAGTGGAAGAAAAGGTCACCTTTCAGTGGCTACTGAGGTACTGATTCATTTCTTCCTATATGATTGCTATACATTTTCAATTGTTTCTTCGCGTTTGTTTGCTTCGACGCGTACTAATCGATACGACTTCTTGCCTATGGTTACAGGTTTTTGAAGTGGCTCCCTCCTTGCATATGGTGGAGCTGCGAAAGACGGGCGGCGACACACTAGAGTTTAACAAGGCATGTGAAAATTATTTTGATTCTTAGTTTATTACTTTTTAGGTGTTTGACATTGCTCTTTTTGAGTTCTTATGATGTTGGTTGATATTAAACTAAAGTTATTCATTGATTTAAATGCAGTTCTACAAAATATTTTCATCAGGGTTGCAAGACATAGTGTGGCATAATGACAAAAAGTAATCAAGTAATAAGGTATTAATTTTCTCTATCTTACTCTCAGACTCAGAATCATCTCAAATTTTTAAAGATCATATATATACAAGTTATACAAGTTAGTCGTAATTTGACTATAGAAAAATGAATAGTAGTCCTATTTAATTGCGGTTTAACTGTGACAAAAACTACGGTATTCACTCTACTATGTGTTCTTATGAGTCTAATAGTTGCATTTGTTCATTGAATGTAGGTGCAAAGTTGCTAGAGAAGTGCATATAATATGCTTGGGAGAGTTTGGCTGAGACTATTTCTTTAGGCTAATTCGAGATAGTTTGATGTGTAGAATAAGTAAAGCTTGAATGTTATTATAATAATACATTGCAATTGTTTTGCTTAAAGATGAAGTTGAGAGTTTTTTTTTAATGTATATATATAAATTATGTGTTATGTGTAATTTCGTCTTTTGACTTTGATTTATGTTTTGTTATATAGTGTTATTTTGTAAATTTCAAACACATGAATAATATAATGTTTAATTATAACATGATTTTGTAGATTTTCTAATATTAGAATTTATGTATAATGTTTATCTCGTTTGTTAGGAAAAATGTGGTAGGTAATGTAGAAGTTTGATGTGGTAATTGTAAGTGCTTTTACATTGTTGAGTAGTAAAAAATTGAAGTTATTAAGTGTGTATTTGATTATTAGATTTAGTGTAATTGATTATCATTAGAAGTGAATTAATTCTGTAATTAATTAGTTTCAAGTGTAACCGGTTATCTATTTTGGCGCAACCGGTTTTAAGCACGAGTTTTTTGTTTTTTTGCTTTTGTATTTGATCAAAATGTATTTCAATCATTGTGTAACCTCTATACAAGTGTGTTGCGTGCACTCTCACCTAAGCTAATGAAATATTACATTCTCTCTCTCTCTCTCTCTCTCTCTCTCTCTCTCTCTCTCTCTCTCTCTCTCTCTCTCTCTCTCTCTCTCTCTCTCTCTCTCTCAATTCTCCTCTTTTTCATTCTCTACTTTCAAAATTTCTCAACTAAATTTCACCAATCTTATGGTTGCTTGTTTCAACATTTGGTATCAAGAGTCTAGTTCAGATCCATAAACACTTTGTGTGCAACATGAATTTTGTCTTCAATAAAAGAATCCCTACAAATTTACCCATTCTTGATGTGAAGAAATACGAAAAATGGTGCAAACAAATGAAGGTGTTGTTTGGCTACCAAGGTTTTCTTGAGGTGATTAAGAATGGTGTTACTCCTCTCCAAGCTAATGCAACAGAGGCGCAACAGACATTGCATAAGGAAGAAAAGAAGAAAGATTTCAAAGTATTGTTCTTGATCCATCAATGTGTTGATGGCGAAAATTTCAAGAAAATTGGTGATTGTGATTCGTTAAAGCAAACATGGGAGATCTAACAGAAAGCTTATGCAGGGGCTGGCAAGGAGAAGGTGGTGAGGTTACAAACTCACAAATGACAACTTGAATTGATTCAAATGGAATAAAAGGATACAATCAGCGATTTTGCGACGAGAATCACTCATTTGATGAACTGAGTGAAGGCATGTGAAGAAACCATTACGGAGCAATATGTTGTCGCTAAGATCTTGCATTCTTGAACACCAAGATTCGGCAACATAGTTGTGGCGATTGAGGAGTCGAAGAACCTTGCGACGATGAGCAAATTGGAGCTGCGAAGTTCTCTTGAGACTTATGAGGAAAGGATGGAGGAGAGGAATAACGATAAGGCAAAGGCGGTAATCGCTTTGCAAACTCAGTTGAATGAGAAAGACACGAGATCGAAAGGAAAATGACCCATGAAGAACAAAGAGAATTTTTAGAATTTTGGTGGAAAAGAGTCCCAAAATTCAAGGAATTCAACTTGACAAAGGAGTGAGAACAGCTACAACAAACATGGTGGTCAAGGAAACTATAGAGGTGAAAGAAAGAGATTTGACAAGAGTAAGGAGCAGTGCTACAAGTGTCGATGGTTCGGTCATCATGTGAAAGAATGCAATGCGAACAAGAAGGAATCTCAAGGGGATGAAGCCAAGTTTGTAAGACAAGAGTTTGATGAAGAGAATACACTCTTGTTCATGATCACAAAAGCGAATTGTAGCAGCAAACAGCCGTGGGACAATAGTTGCAGCAACTCAAAGAATGCTGAAAAATTGGGTTGCAACTAGTTGAATGATATGATTGATCGGTCGCACGAAGATGAAGAAGCCATGATGAGTGTGAAAGGAGTTCAATACAACAAGGAGTGGTATTTGGACTCGATTTATTTAACTCATGTGACGGGAAGAAAAGATTGGTTTGTCAAAATCAATCGTGCCATGAAGAACAAAGTAAAGTTTGCGGATGACACCAGTCTAATGGCCAATGTAATTGGTGATATTTTGATCATGAGGAGGGATGTTGGATATTCCTTAATCAAATATGTCTTGTATATTACGGGAATCAAATGTTATCTTCTAAGTATTGGCCAATTACTTGAGAAGGATTGCAAGATTTATATGGAAAACAAGGGGTTGCGCGTTATGGATGCAAAGGGAACTTTGGTTCTTAAAGCACTTATGGCTGCCAATAGAATCTTCAAGGTTGAGTTGAAGGTTATGGAACATAGATGTCTTACTACTACAGTAAGTCGTGAAAAATGGGTGTGGCCCTACTCTCTTAGGCATCTAAATTTTAGAAATCTTAAGGACTTGCAAAAGAACGGAATGGTAACGGGGCTGCCAACTCAATATTTCAGCTGAAATTTGTGAAGAATGTGTGCAAGCAAAGCAACATAGAGGAAAATTCAGCAATGATGCAGACCAGAGAGCCAAGAATCACCTTAAGGTGGTCTATTCGGATGTGTGTGAGCCTATGCAAGTAGACTCCATTGGTGGAAATAGGTGTTTCATCACTTTTATTGATGATCATAGTAGAAAGCTATGGACATACCTTATTAAAAGAAAGGATGAGGTATTGAATGTGTTTAAGAAGTTCAAGTCCAAGGTTGAGAGGCAAAGTGGTCACAAGCTCAAAGTGCTCAAAACGGATGGTGGAGGTGAACATGTCTCAAATGACTTTGGGAGATTTTGTGATCAATAAGGGATAATATACGAGGTAGTACCACCCTATACACTGTAGCAAAACTGTGTAGCTGAAAGGAAAAATCGTTCGATAATAAACATGGTGAGAAGCATGTTGAAGGGGAGAACTTGCTGAAAGAGCTATGGGGAGAAGTAGTATCTACAGCTGCCTATTTGTTGAATAGGTGCACTACAAAGAAGCTGGAAAATGTAACACCGGAGGAAGTATGGTTGGGGTTCAAACCAAATATGAACCAATTAAGAGTCTTTAGTTTTGTTGCATATCGACATGTTCCGGGTCAACTTAGAAAGAAGTTGGATGATAATGGTGAGGTGATGATTCTTGTTGGATATCACTCTACCGGTGGTTACAAACTGTTCGATGCTATAAACAAGAGGATCATAATCAGTCGGGATATTGTAATCGAAATGAAGCAGTTGCAGGAGAGCGTAACCAGTTACTAGAATCTTGTAACTGGTTACATGCAGGCTGTAACTGATGACTAGAATCCTATTTACAGGTTTGAGTTTCTGATTTTGAGGTAGCAAAAGTACAGAACATCAATCTGTCGAAGCCCAGATTGAAGAAAATGTAAGAAGGTCAGCAAGGCAAAGAGGTTTGCCTCAAAGACTCCAAGATTGTGAGTTGTTTCGTGATAATGAAATCAATGACGATGGTGATTTCGTCCATTTTGAACTTATGGCCGAATTTGAACTTGTCAATACTTAAGAGGCTTTAAGTGATCCTAAGTGGATTTATGCTATGAAAGAGGAGGTGGAATCCATTGCAAAAAACAGTACTTGGGAGCTAGTTGGTCTACCAAAAGAGAAGAAGGAAATTGGTGTGAAGTGGTTGTTCAAAATGAATGCAAATCCCAAGGGTGAGATAATCAAGTGTAAGGCTCGATTCATAGCTAAGGGATTTTTGCAAAGAGAAGTCATAGACTTTGAAGAGGTTTTTACACCAGTTGCTATGATTGAAACCATTAGGCTTGTTGCTGGTATTGAAAATAACCACAATTGGCTTATCTACCAAATGAATCAGAAATCCGCGTTTTTGAATGGACCTCTTGTATAGGAGGTATATGTAGGACAACCCTCTAGTTTTGTTGTTAAAGATCAAGAGCTGAAGTTTTACAAGTTAAAGAAATCACTATATGGTTTGAAGCAATTAAGCTCCAAGAGCTTGGAATAGAAGAATTGATGGTTTCCTAAAGAATACTGGCTTTAAGAAATATGTATCGGAGCATGGAGTTTATGTGAAGATGAATTCGAATGAATGAGTAATCATCTTTTTTTTTATATGTGGATGATTTATTGATTACAGGCAGCAATGAGGAGAGTATTTCAAAGTTCAAAAGAGAACTTATGGAAGAATTTGAGATGACGGACCTTGGTATCATGACATACTTCCTAGGCATAGAGTTCCATAAGTCAAAATTAGAAATGCTCATGCATCAAAGGAGATATGCTCTTGAGATATTGAAAATGTGTGAAATAGAGCATTGCAATACTGCCATTTCTTCTGCATAACTAAGGTTGAAAATGTCCAAGAATAAAGATGAGGAAGATGTTGATACAACTCAATATAGGAAGATGTCTCTTTAATATAGTAACATGGTATACATAGTGAAATATACTTAATTATGTATTAGTACTAATTAGCAGACATGATATCGATGCTTATACTAATTTTATGTTTTTTTCTTCATTTTAATTTGTAATTTTTAAGACCATAGGGAGTCGTAAAATGTGAAACTCATTTCACTCCACAACGCCCCGCGAATGAAATCATGTATAAGATCGAAGAGGCTGCAAAACCTCTCAGATTTAATGTTCACAAGCGAAATTACAAGGTAACCGATTATTAACCACAACAATTCTTCTTAGTTTCTCTATTTGATGAAATCATTCATTACTTTGATTAATCTTAGG